TCTGGTGATGACTGGATCACTGTTAGCCTCCCTACGAGATCTATGTGGAAATGTTATCTTCACCTCTTCTATAACCTGCCACAGTCTCCATCCTGTCACTTGCCCAGACTTCTTTCATGGCTTCCAAGGTGTTTCTACTTCCCCTCACCCTCTTGAAGTCTATTCTTAACATAATAGCAGTGAACAAGATTGTGTCGCTCCTTATGTAAATGATGCTCTAAGTAAAACCAAGGCTTAAGGCAGTGACTTAAAGGATCCATTTCTCAGTTGCAACCCCTCTGACAACCTCAATATCCTGTTGTTACACACTTTACTATCCCCACACTGCTCCACATAACCTAGTATTGTAACTGTTAATTGATGTCTGCAAGAGACTTTCCTCACTGCACTCTCCAAAGAATATTGACTTCTTATCTTCTTAGATGTTACCTTTCCAAAGAAACATATCATCAAACATGAACTTACAACAACAATCTCTTCCCTTTGGTGTTTACCTGGTTGATCATACCTTTTTCCCATAGTTGTTAGAACCTTCAATTTATAATACAGACATATTACTATTAATAATCTACCTATTGAGAAATTGTGATTGCTTCTCTTCCATCATACAATAGGAAATCTCTTTGAGTAGGCACATTCACATGCTTTATGTGCTACAATACACTCACACCTTTGAAAGGTACATATTAGGTAATACATACACACATGTATGTATACAAAATGGATTATCTGTCTGAGATCTATTTTAGCTCATTGAGGCATTCCACATCTACAGAAATGGAGGATATACAGACTTCTGCCATTGAGTTTTTTGGTACAACAAATATATGGAATTGAGAGGTTTAGAAATAAAATACCAGCTACAAAAGTTTGTGAAATGTGACATAACTACCAACTTATTCCATTAGCCAACCATAAATAGCAAACCATATGAGGTTTTCATGGAATGGACATCCACTTTTCACATAGAACACCCTGATTACTTACAGGACAAAATTTTAAACTTTCATAAGTGGAGGAAAAATATATTGAGAACCCAAATACAACTTCATAGATGAAGTTTGTGGTGTCAGTTATTTCCCAAGAGAAAACAATGTCTCAGACATTTAGATGTTGTTATTGGATATTTACATGTTGATTATTCCCCACGGAATAATCAGGAATATTTTCATTCAATCTAGGATCATAATTATGGTACAAAACTAGTATTTTTGAGTGTTTAATTATTTGAAAGAGACAGAAATTGTGGAAGATGTTTTCATCTGCTGGTTCATTCTCTGTCAACAAAACTGGGGATTGGGCCAGACCAAAGTCAAAACACTAAAACTCAACCAAGGCCTGCTGCAGGGGCTGCAGGAATGCAGACATCTGAGCTATCACCTACTTCTTCCCAGAGTGATCATTAGCTAGAAATTGCTACTAGAGATGGAGCCAGGATTTCAGCACAAGAATTTCAATATGGGCTGCTGGCATCCAACTAGTATTTTAACTACTGAATCAAAATTCATCCTCAAAATATTTTAAAATTAAATCTGAAATTAAAATATCCATACCATGGTGCTCTAAAAAGTTCATGCAAAAACCATTAAAAGGTAAGTTCATCTTGATGCAAAAAAATAGTTCCCTGCATAGTTTTTCATTATTATATACTTTCTGTGAACTCTTTGAAAACCTCTCATATTTCTGACTAATGCAAAGAGATTCAGAACTAAAAGACTGCATCCTTGAAAAGGAAACATTGAACACATCTCATATCTGAATTCAGCTCAGTGTGCTCTAGTTATTCCATTTTGTTTCAATATCAAAAGACAGGAAAGCCAAGACTTTGAACTACTATCCATCATTCCCTCCGGTTTTAACTGGCTGGCTGGCTGTATTCTAGAACCCCTATCCTTCTGAGACCTGGGAGTAAGTTAACCACTCCAAATCTGAGGTTGTCTGATTACAAAAAGAGCCCTGTAATCAGATTAATACCACACTGGATAAAACAAGGCAAGAAACACCCCAAATTATCAGATAAATTCTTTGATATTATGAAGCTTTTAGTTCTTCCAGTGTTTATACAAAATGATCTCACCAACTCAAATGAAAGTAGTCACATGTAAGAACAGAGCTAATAGTTATCTACTTCAGTGTCAATTTTAAAATTCCATACTCATATTTCCTGAAAAATGAATTTTAAAATTTAGTTCAAAAATGTAGGTGAAGTGCCTGGTATCATGGCATAGGAAGTTAAACTCTGCCTTTGATGCCAAGATGCCCAGGTGAAAGCAGATAGGTATCATGGCTGCTCCAGTTCTCATCCAGCACTCTGCTGATTTCCCTGCTTATGGTCTGGGAAATCAGCAAAGAATGGTTCAAACCCCTGGACCTGAGTCAGATGGAAGCTGTCTGTCTGTCTGTCTGTCTGTCTGTGTGTGTGTGTGTGTGTGTCTCCTCTCAGCAACTCTACCTTTCAAATAATAACAAATAAATCTTTAAAAAAAAACACTAGGTGGATTTTATCTGCAGAAATAACATAACCAAAAGCAAAGAAGAAATAAATATGAAAAAAAAACATGCCTCAGGAAGCAACTATTTTGGCAGGAACCATTACAAATCATATATCTGGTAAGTAACTTCTATTCAAATAAATAGATTAATATTTTACTGTAAGGTGAGTTACAGTAATTCTGATTTTTATGATTATCAAATATATTCTCCAATACTATAACCTTGAAAGGAGAAAAAAAATGCTATAAATGGAAAGGAGCCAGGTAAAAATAGGTCATCAACAAACAGGCCTTTAATTTATCAAAAGCCCTCCTAGGTTCCGTCTGTTCCAACTGTCAGACTACATCCAGAACACAAACCAAGGACCAAGCACAGTGAGCACTACAAACAGAAACACTATGGAAGCTTCTGGACTAAAATCACTTCCTATAAAAATAACAAACAATTTAAGGCCATGGCATCCAGGTTTCAGAAATGATTGATAGAAAATTCAAGAAACAGTAATAATTAGATGGCCAAGTTTTTACAAATGCACAGCAAATGAATTTCAAAATCAAACCAAGTAATGATCAAACCAAGTCATTTTGCCTAAACTACAAGTTTTAAATTTAGAACCATAAAAATCCATTTTGTTCATCTCATTTGTTTCAAATGTCTAAGAAAAAAGGACTACATTTTGAGAATGCAGTCCTTCTTTTTTAAAGAAGAATATATTTTGAGTAACCCAAATATTATCTAAAGTAAGAATTCTGATCATTATTACATAACAATGATTTCCTTCATGAGACTTCTGATGTTAGACTAGCTTGGTAATTAATATGAGTTATTAAATTGCAGCAATAGATCACAATAAAAAATATGGCTTCAAGAATTAGCAGATTTAAATTAATATGAATGTCTATTTTGTGCCAGATATGTGAGCTGGGTAAGTAATTCACAGAAATTCAGTATCTTGACATCTATAAAAGCAGAATAACAATATTGTTAACATCACATAGGAATAAAACTTAACTAATGTGATCATTTTCATTAACTTTATTTTGTAACTACTAAGATAATTCTTGGCTAGCAGAAATTATTCTATAATGGTAACCATAATTATCTTTATTATTATTACTATGTGATTATAAGACCAATCTCCTTATAACTCCAATGTAGTCATTTGGGATAATCTTCTGTTGTTTTTCATTTCTGAAATATTAACTCCTTTCTTCTTCATTAACCTAAATCCTAACCATTTCCAGCAGGCCTGACATTTATAACAACTTCCCTCGCTAACCATATCCCACAATAATGCTCCTCTTACATTGCACAGAGTTAACAGCTGCCTTATTTATAATTTGAATTACACAATGTTAATTTTGGCTTATACCTGCTTTCCCCACTGCATTATAACCCTACATAGCTTCTCCAACTGAGTGCACATATTTTTCCTCTGCTAAGTAACATTGATCTTTTTATGACAGAACATTATTTCTTCTCTTTTTAAAACCATATAAAAATGGGCCACCTTATCTCTCCAACCTTTCATTCCTCATCCAATAAGCAACAAAGTTAAACAAGCTCTCCATGGCACAATGCTATACTATTTCAATGCATAGAACTGAAAAGTTCTAACCCTCCTTACACAACCTCCTTCACAATTTTAATTTTAGCTATAAATTCTGAGCACATAAGCTGCACACTTTGAATTACTTTACAATACTTGGGAAGTGGGCATGACCTCAGATATGTTGTACCTGAGCAACGTTGGCATCATCATGCTTATATCAAGACACCATTGTTTCACATACTTGTTCAGCAGCCTGCTAGCAACCAACATTTACGACTAACAATTCTCTTCCCTTAATTTTAGTTAGTCATGCCCAGTTTTTCACCATTTCTGCCTTTGATAGCTACTAGGCATTTAGTGTTCATAAAAAATTGTATATTTTTTCATATAGGAGAATTTCTTGTTTGATTTTATCCTATATATACAAAAGCCAAATTCATTTTGATATAGCATGTGGTAAAGGGAGTAATAAAGAAGTCAACTAGAAAAATAGGAAGAAATTAATAATACCATTGGTTAACTGCAGGCAAGAGAAATAAAAAGTTTACAGACAGGCTTTACCATATTATCACTCTTGATATAAGCTAGTATTCCATTTTATACTAATCTTGTTTACTATTCTGATAGTACAGCATATTTTGATGAATAATAGAATATCTGTCATTTATATTGTCAAGTCTCAACTTGTTGCCTTTAATACCCTTGGCATCACAGATATAAGAAGTATTTTGGGGAGAATTACTAAAGCACAGGGTTGTGAAGAAATAAAAAAAATGCCACACAGATTTTAATTCAGCTCCACATTCAAATGCACCACAGCCTAGCCACAACTTATGCTCTCTCTACTTCTTTTAGGAACACAGCGAATGTCACAGAAATGAATTGTTTCCTAGAAAAACAAAAGATTCTTCCATAATTCAAACGAAGCATGCACCATGCAACATGCAAAAAGTACCTTGGGTTTCTTATTTTCAGGGCCTGTTGCCATGGGCAATGTACACGGTGGCATCAGCTCCTTGGTTCTTGTTAGAGAGATAGGAGGTGATGGGGTTGAGACAGGTGACCTGTGGCTGGATATTGTGCTTTCACGTTTCCCAAGTCTTGAAGGCAAGGTATCACTGTCACAAATTGGATGCGGGGCTGAAGGACTTAGCTGGAACGTCTGGGCGGGAAGATGAGTAGGAAGGGTAGAGGAGAACCCCAAGTTTGGAAGAGACACAGAGCTAACACTGGAAAAGGGGGGAGAAGGAGAAGCAGAAATATTCAGTTCATGGCCAGACAGCTGAGATGATGTGTCTTTGGATCTGCTTATCAGATTTGAAAGAGTTGAAGAAGGTTGGAAACGTTTCTCCGGCACGGGGAGTGTGGCACTCTGATTAACAGGAGCAGACACAGAAGACCGTAGAGAGGAAGGTAATGTAGAAGAGCACGAATAAATATCCCTGGGCTTTTCTGGACTTTTGAGGACATCATTCTGTTTACCCTTTGCAGAGTAAAGAGAAGAACTTAGTGGGACAGGGGGAAGACCTGCAAAGCTCGGTGTGTAGGTTTGTGGCAGGGAGGGCTTTGTATTACTCTTTGACAATGTGAGTGAAGTTGCTTTCTCTGCATTCAAGGAGAAAGGGCTGCTACTAACAACGTTTGTGGGAGAGAGGCAGGACTGTTGAGAAACAGGGAGAGTCTTGGAGGGAAAAGATAGGGGGAAAGATTGCTGGGTCAGCTCAGAAACCGGTTGACTCCCTTGATCTGGAGATCCAGATCTGACAGAACAACTGGAGAGAGACTTTTTAGGCATAGGTGGAGTTTGCTTTACTTTTTGATCCAGCGTGAGTGTGGAAGAGGCCAGGGAGTTGAGGGAGAATGTGGGGCAGGATGCAGGTGATGAAGGTCTTTGGTGAGATGGGTTTGACTTGAGAATGGCTGTGAGAAGGGAAAGCCGAGAGGGCACTGGAGACTTTACCCCTGACCTTGAGAGACTTCCACTAGATGACATTTGGCTACAGAGAGTGGAAGAAGAGCCATGGAAAGAGGTGGTAAATTGTTTTGGACTCGGAGAGAGTGAATGTGTGACAATACGGACAGGGATATACAAGGCAGAATTCGGCTTCAGAGAAGCACCACCAGATGATGCAGGAGAAGGGGCTCTTGGACTTTCTCTGGGACTATGGGCATGTGAGGCTAAAGCTGCCGACTTCTTCAGAACTTCAGACGTCAGTCCATGTTTCTGGTGTGCAGCCGTCTGGCTGGATGCATTAGAACCTGAGAGCTGAGCGGAATGGGGAAATGGTAAGGTCGAGGAGATGCCCTTCGATGAAGAAAAGTCTGAGGAGTGGCTGGTACTTTGGAAATACGTAGCCGTTTCTTCTACCAAGGCCCCACTGACATCCAGCCTCCTAGTGTGGAACTCCTCTAGGACAGAGGCTCCGTCGAGGTTAAGTGGGTCAGGTGGTGGTCTCTGATTAGTTGGAGAAACAAAGCAGAAAGCAGGTGGTGTACAGGCAAGCTGCTCAGAGGTAGTGGGAGAAGAAGTTAACTAGAGAAAAAAAGAAATAGATTGAAATAGCACATTATTTGTGAAATTATCAAAATATCGTCACTTGTGCGATTCTGCAAGCTGTTCTGTAGTTTACTCAAAAATAACTTAAACCTCCATAGAAATGAAGAAAAAAATCTGTTTTGCTAATGAGATGCTAAAGTGAATTTGAAATAAGATCTAAACAAGCTGTGAAGTATTCATCTATGTATCACTTAGTCTCCAAAGTAGAAAATTAATATAAATTATTCTGCATGCTTCCATTTGGAAACTAACCCATTGGCAACATCCAAACAGTTATCCTATTTTGGAATGGTGTGTTTAGAAAATATTTAAATCACCAGCAGTATAAATTTTAAAATTGACTTTGTAAAATTAAATTGATTTTCTTTCAACCTTAGATGTTAGAATTGTGACTACAATGCTTAGAAAATTTAACATCTCAAGTGCTTAAAATCCAAAAACTTGGATTACTTACTCCTACACACTGAGCCTGAAAAAGTGCCCAGAATTAAAAAGATGAAAAATACAATGTCAACAGAGTGATAAACTGAGAGAGATAAAAATCCAAAATAGAGAGGGAAATTGAGCTTATCTTTCCCAATGACTTTTCCAGAGTGAATATTTAGCATGAACATTTAATGAAAATTTAACAGCATTTAGGTTATGCTGGCAGGAATAGACTTTCCTTCATATCCAAAAAATATACTTACAATTATAATACTGGCAAAAATCACAAAAACACAACACCCCACCTCAAAAAATAGTTCATCCTTTTAGATCATTTCACAACAGAAGCTCGGGAGACCCTATGAAACAATTGCATGCATGGAGACTATGGTGCCATTTAAGAACTGAAATTATAAGTAATTCTAAAACCATTTGAGTAGGATTTTGGACAAAAGATTGATTAGATTCTAAGGAAAAATGTAGGCAAATGGATATATTTGCGGCTTAAGGACTGTTAGTCATTCAAAAATATTAATGAATGAAGGGCATTTCACATTGGGATTCAGATTCCACTTGGGACACCCACATCCCACTTGGGCGTGTCTGAGTGCAGGCCCCAGCTCCTCTCTCAGTTCCATCTTCCTACAGTTCACAACCTGGGAGGCAGCAGGTGGTAGTTCTTGCAGATAGGTCTCTCCTACCCATCTCAGAGACCCTGGTTGAGTTCTCAAGTCTTAGCTCTAGTCTGGTCTAGCCCTAATTGTTGCAAGCATTTGAGTAGTAAACTAGAGGATGAGAAATCTTTCTTTTTATGTCTTTCTGTCTCTGCCTTTTGAATAAATCAAATAGACAAACAAATCAAAATTAAAATATTGTTATCAATATTAAGACCTACATACTACATTTAGTAAATAATAAAAATTATCTGTGAGTGTTGCAATTTAAAGACCATATTAATATGAAGATATTTCTTCCTTTTGTTTATATTAAGTCATCCATCCAACATAATGTATTCATCTTCATACCAAACTATACAAAAATGTTTAAAACTGAAAAACACAAACTCATCCAAACTTCTAATTTCTGAACAAGCATACCAAAATATTCTTTCCTTTTATACATAAATTCATACGCAACACAGATTCCACGTGCAACACAAAATTCTTGCCATAATGTTTGAATGCATTGGCATGATCCAGAACACCAGAAAATCGGGGATAATGAAAAATCAAGAAGAATGCAATCAAATTGTAAAAGGAAACTTAACAATCCTCCTCCACAAGTTATAGTCAGAAAAACTCAGCCTTCCCAGCATTTACGTAACTGATTCATGTCATTGTGGTTTATATTTCAATCGAAATATCACTAAGAAACTGGTATTTCAATCACTACAACAATGACAATATTTTATATGAATGCATTTAATCATGGACAGTCGAATTAGAATTTAGTGCTTAAAACAAATTCTCTCAAAGTCAATACCATATTAACAACTTTAGTTTTGTTTTACTATAAATGGAAGGTGTTCCCTAAGTATTTGTGATTGATCACTCCTTTAGAAACAGTGGAGCCGTGTCAGGCCTGTAAATTATCTTGGGCATAGTTCGTGATATCAATGCCTAGAATAGCTGCTAGGTATTTTTTGTGAATTTTTAACAGCAGTTACCAAAAAAAAAAAAAAAAACTGTATCCTTTTTTTTCTTAAGTAATGTTTCCAACTTACTCTGATGTATATGAAATCTCATCCTGATTATCCACCAGCTATCACTATATTAAGACAATGCATCTGGGACCCGGCACAATAGCGTAGTGGTTAAAGTCGTCACCTTAAAAGCTCCAGGATCCCATATGGTCGCCAGTTCTAATTCCAGCAGCCTTGCATCCCATTCAGCTCCCTGCTTGTGGCCTGGGACAGCAGTTGAGGACAGCCCAAATTCTTGGGACCATGCACCCATGTGGGAGACCTGGAAGAGCTCCTGGCTACTGGCTTCAGATTGGCATAGCACCAGCCATTATTGGGGAGTGAACCATCGGACAGAAGATCTTCTTCTGTCTCTCCTCATCTCTCTATATATCTGCCTTTCCAATAAAAATAAATAAATCTTAAATAAATAAATAAATAAAAAGACAACGAATCTGTAATTTTGAGGGTCTCATTCAAAGACTGTTCCCTCCTACTTCGTCACTGCTATCACTTCAAATTTCTAAATGTTCTACCACACAAAGTGATATTTACCCAATATAAACAACATATTACTCTGTTTTTAATCGCTGATTGTTCAGGAAGTTCTAAGAGGTTATGAAAAGCCTAAGAATATGTACTTATTTCCTAGGATTTATTCCTAGGAATATGTATTTATTTCCTAGTTAATCTACTATTACTATTCTTATTTATTTTATTGTTCTTATTACTCTCCAAAACACAGTTCTGTAGATAGAGGCACTGTTTTCTTCCTTTCCCTCCACTTTCTATCTCCTAATTTTCCCTCCAGTCATCTCCCCCATATTAAAGAATTTACAAAATATTCATTTCTAACTCAAAAACAGACCATCATGCTAACCTAATATTTATGAATATAAAAATGTAGCACCATATTTTCATAATTCCAAAATGCGAAGAATTAGTTTTTAATTTAAAAATATTTGCTTTCATGCTTCTCTCATTTATAAGTTAAAAATAAAGAAATTGATCATTTTATGTGGCAGGAAAAAGTTCTGCACCAGTCAAAATCTCTGTCGAAAGATGGATGGATAAAGAAACCATAGTACATTTATTCTATGAAATACTACAAAACCATAAAAAAAGAATGAAATTCTGCTATTTACAACAAAATTGTCCTGAATGGAGAGCATTATGCTTGTGAAATAAGTCACAAAAGAACAAATATCCTAAGTTCTCTCTGATTTAAGACAGCTTGCATGCAAAGGTATCAAGGTTATACATAAATTCTCATAGATGAACTGCATGATAGAAACTAGAATATCAGGAAGTAAAGATACATTGCACTACATGTCCCTAATTCTGAATAAAAATAGGACTCCCAATGAAACATTAAAATATATCTTTACAGTATGATATTGAATTTTCTGCCTTTGCCTATATCTGCAATGCTATAATAGATTTAAATAGCAGAAAGCTAAACTTGTAGCTGATATCAAGGGATTACACTACTATGGCAATTTAGGAGAAAAATAGCTGAATGAAAAAATGGGGAGACAAAGAGGGAAGTGGGGGGAGGAACTCCTGTGACTGTAAAATTATGTCATGGAAAATAATAAGTTAACAATAATTTTAAAGTGTTAAAAAAAAAACACTCATAGTTAGCAGCACAGAATCAGTCGCTCATGTGTCTCTACCTTGAAAATCTTTTCTGATGGTGCCAAACTTTTCTACTGAGATCCAATATTCATTCTGTCCCATTAATAATCCCTTCTGTTCTCTAGGTGTATTATTTGTTATGATCCCTCTTCCCCATGACTGTTCTCTGTCTTCTTCCACTTTTACTTCTCACTTCTCTTGGCTATAGATACTGTGACTAAGATTTTCAAACCCCAATACTCTTCTTTCCTTGATCCTCTTCAACACATGTGTTCTCCAAAGCCATCCTTAAAACTCTTTCTAGAAAGACTCTCCTAAACTCTGGAATACATTCACAACAGTAAGAAAAGATGTTTGCCACATGATATAAATTTCGCCACATACACATACACTGAGCTACTTAGCTCAGTGTATTGCACTGGACCCGCAGGAAAATAATACCAACATGGCATCATACTGATCAAAATAGGTTCATGTGGCCCTCAGACCTAACAATCAACATGTTCCTGCAAGATCACCACCAACAACAACCTAGCTATGTAGGACACCTGGTGTCTCCCTATCCCTGGGACCTGCTCCAACCAGAAGTGGAAGGAAGGTTCTACAGACAATGGTACAGCCTCAGCACCATGGTGAGCCAGGATCTGGGGCTATGGAGATCATGGTGGAAATCTAACATAAGAATCCAGACCTGAAACTTGCTAGAGGCAGTAACACAAGTGACTGCAAAGAGCCATGTACCAACTGCAATAAGTAAACTCGAACTGTAGACCTGTGGGTGACACAGCTTACAAACCTGTCTCAAGGAGAATAATCTGCTAGCCAGAAGTACAATGACCAAGAGCAAAAGAAGAGGCAAAGGCACAATGAATATTACTGAAGATTGCCCTGTAAAGGAACAAAACCCTTTGCCAACCTCAGAGTCAACTAAGGAAGACATCAAGAAAATGGGAGACACAGAATTCAAAACACTTGATATAAAGCTTCCAATCAACAATCAGAAGCATATAAAGCAGGCATTCAAGGAATTTAAGGAATATGTCGCACTGGAAATGAATCAAATGAAAGCTGATATATCAGAAATAAAGAAGACAGTGAAGCAAATTAAAAGTATAGTGGAAAGTCTCCAAAATAGAATGAAGCAAGCAGAAGA